TATAATTCTTGATAATTGTAATGCACTCTGGCACTGGTCGCCCCCCCAAAAAGATTATCCCCTCCTGACTTGGGTGGACTTTTTTTGAGGGATAGACCCCCTTGTTAGGTTGCTGGCAGGCTGGCACACAGATATAGTCCAGGCACTGACGCCCTGGATTTGATCCACTCAGTACGGCCCCCTACACCTCTCTCTCTCTCTAAATCCCGGCTCCCATGCACTCTACCCCAGCTCGAGCCGCAGGAGCACCGGCGTCGGCACGTCCATCCGCGGGGACGGCGCGGCCCTCCAGGCAGGCCTCCGCGCGGGGGTCGATCCAACGCGGTGGTCCGCCGTGACAGCCGTGACACGTGTTCCAACGTTCCAACACCTGAGGAGGTATGTTGAATTGTTCGTCATCAACTCGCCTCAAATTCTGGAGGTTTTGGAAGATGAACATATCTGGCAACCAAGAGGTGGCAATGCTGCTTTTGGGGCAATAGTATTTTCATTAGTGCATGTCTCTCACACAAGCTAAAAAGGCAAGCAATGAGTCCAGTCCATCATTGCTACACCCTCATGTAAGAACACACCCCCGTATCCAGAGCTAGGGACATGAATCGGTTCATTGGTTCACCCTTCTGCTGCCCATCTCACTGTCGAGATTGGTCACCTCCAAGCGGTTTCAACAGAGTTCTGAGTAATGAATGAGCCCACGCAGAGGCATGAGTCATGAGTCCTACAAGTCCGGCACCTGAGTCCTATCAGTCCGGCTCAGCGGCTTCTGCACCTTGGAGTCCAATATATCCCAATACCTTCCAGTGATCTTCACGAATCGACCTCACTACCCCACCTGCCCGTCCTGCCCTGGCATGCTTGGATGTCAAATGAGTCATGACCGGACTCAAGAGTCCGAGTGGATGGAGTCTCGAAGATCTGGAAGGGTGATGAGGAGCCGTTTCATCTCAAAAAGGGGACCTCCGCAAATACAAAAGGGACGCCCACACCAAAAGGAATCACCATCATACCGAAGAACTTCAGCACCAAGCGTACCTCACTCATGACGCTCCCACGGTTGACCCCCGAGGCCCAGGTCGGTTGGACGGATGGATGCGCCAAGTGACTCGGACGTGGAGACCTCGGACCTCAAACGACGCGCGGATCGACACGGCTCGACGTGGCCAGTGGAACCCCCCCAGTGCTCCGGGGTGCCCCGGTGGTTGCCTGGATTTCGGGGCCATTCATGGACCGTAATCCGTGGTGCTGGTGTGTATGTGTATATATATATATATGTATATATATGTCTCTCTCTCTCTCTCTCTCACGAGTCGTCACCTATAATACCGATATATTTAGATATGGTATAACCATGTATAACCTCTCTCGGAACTTCAGGGGCCACAAATGGAGTCCAGAGGTTCGTTCAATGTGACCGACCTGTTTGGGAGCCCCTGACAGGCCTGTGTTGTCCACCTCAAACCTGGGAGATCACCTTGAAGACCCCGCGTGCGGCACAATCAATGGATCTTCTCCATGGATGTTCTCCATGGATTCTCGATGAACGCGTGTGATGCCCAACGGCCAACCGTCGCCACCTGAGTCCCCAGCAGCGCCGGCGTCACCTGCCCCCGCAGGCGCAGCACCTCCCGCGCCACGTCGCGGCGCGTCTTGGCCGCGAGCTCCGAATCGCCTGGGGACGGCCGAGACACGACGAGTTTGGGACTGGAAGAGTGACATGGATGGCTCGTAAATGAGGTCAATGTATTATAACACATACCATAACAGTAACCTCTAGACCTCTAACTATGATTCCATCCATCAATGGTCCAGGCATATGAAGACCTGGTTCATCCACACGCCATCTGCCTAGACATTTCCACCTACTCGGTGCGTGTTTCCTGCTCCACGGCTCTGCCCGGCCCCTTCTGTTTCCAAGCCAAGCCACGTAGGTCGTCCACATACCGTTGCCTGTCGAGAGGACCGTCCGGCCAACGGATGCAGAAACGACCGGGAGCGACGGAGGCGGAAAGATCGGAAGACCATAGGCCGGGTGAAATATCGCACGAGTGTCTCTACCCACCTTTTGCTAGATAGCTCATGGGTAGCTGGCACGAATTTCCAAGAGATCGACCTTCGACTCATTGGGTGCTGGACATGCTTCGGCCATCATCCACCAACACAACTGGGCCTTTGCTTCCAGGTCTCGTCCACCATCACTTGCCGGGCATTTTGCTCTTGCCGCCGACGGCCCGCCAGCTCGTCCTCCGACACAGAACCGCGCTGGGTCGGTGCATGTATGAGTCCCGCGTCGAGGCCACACGGCTTCGCGTCCTCCTCGCGCTGCCGCTGCGCCCGCTGCTGCTGCAGCCAGTTGTGGGGATCTTCCTCCTCACGAAGCCAGAGCTCCTCGGAGGCGGATGGGCTCGTTCGAGGACGATTGCAATTTGGATCTGGATGTTTTCAGATCAAATGTTCAGGGGGGGTTTGTGCAGCCTTTACACATTTCAATAGGCTAAGAGCAATTGGGTCATTGCATTGCGGATAAGGAGAAGAACAAGTACATATAAATCTGCGGTAGATACGTTGGAGACCGCACCTTGCATGAGAGAAAAGGGATCTTCTGAGATACTGCTTTTGGGGAGACCCAGTGCTTGAGCATGCTTACCATCCCATCTGCCTATCTGCAAGCAACGACCCGTCCGCCCCTGGCCTAAGCATCTCCAACATGATCGTTTCCGAAGCAACCTTCTAGAAAAACATCCCACAACCATCCAAAATGATCCAAAACATCCCAAAACACGTGAAACTCCATGGCCTTTTTGTCTCATCAAGCAGTTCCATCTCGTTCCACCTTCCCATCTTTCAGTGAACGGTCCAGCTCCTTCTCCCCGCAGACTTCTCCAAGGCACCAGCTCCTGCTGCCGCTGCAGCTCCCGCTGCAGCCGCTCCTCGTACTCCGCGGCCACGTGCCCCGCGTCCACGTGCCCCGCGCGCGGAACCGCCCGAACCGGAGCCGCCGTCTCCGTGGTGCCCACGCGCGGGGCCTGGCGATGGGACGGGATGGACCGTGGTTGTGCGGGTCAATAGGTTGAAGATTTCCAGACATGGAGTGGTCTGGGTTGGGTGAGCCTTTTTTGGACCCTATAGGCCCTAACTTCTTATGGAAACACACCAATGACAGACCCTTCGTGATTGCCAGCTCTAACCCCACAAATCCGCTGCCGCATCCCCCCTGAAATACTGTCCTCACCTTGGCGGACACCACCTCATCCACCAACTCCTCGTCGGCAACTCGTCGATCGCCTTCCCGTGCGGAGCGCTCCTCGGCGCGGCGGGCTAAACGCGCTCTCAAGGAGAGGGTTCGGGGATAGTCTATAGTCTATAGGGTCCTTCAACCTCTGTTGGAATATCAACATCATCTATCGCGTCACTTGTCCCATCGCCCAACACCAAGGGGCTGCACCTCCTGGGACGCTTTCGGCGATGACTTCAGTTTCTTAGCCGAAAGCTATGTGAGATTGCGCTCTCACCGAAGCAGCCAGGGCACCAGCTTCTCCTGGTAGTACCGGTGCTGCTGCACTTCCTGCCTAGGTGCAGAAAGCAGATTCAGACCCCAGACACAGAGAGATCAACAGGCAAGACCTCTGCTGAAGAATGCAGCGTTCAATCACTTTTGAGAATGGAATAGGTCTGAATAGGTCATCCTCCCGTTGGCCACAGATTCTTCCCATGCAGAGTTCTCTTGCACGATCTGACTAACAGCCGAATGAGAAGATGAAAACATCCGCAGGTCGAAGTCTCCTGTGGTGGTTCTGTGAAGGGGATCGTCTCAAGAAGGCCGCCGATCCAAAAAAGAGCACCATCAGGACAAAGCCCACCCAGAAACCGTCACTTCTTTGGTCATTCACTGCGATCCTGTCAGTCTTGAAAGCAGGTTCCCCTACCTACCTGTCGTGTCGCGAAGGATTCGCGGGACACCGGGAAACCAACTCGCGTCCCTGTCATGAAAATCAAGCCTCCCACGTGTTGGAGACCACACACATTTCTAAGATCAGGCCCAGATCAGGCGATTAGGCCCAGAACCTGGGATCAGCTGGGTGTCCAAGGCAGGCCGAGATCACCGGCGCCTTGCTGGTCCGGCGGTCCGCCGGTCCGGTTGGGCCTCCCGGGCTGCCGACGGCTGGTCTCGATCACCTCCGATCGGCGGGTCTGCTGCTCTTGGCAATCCCTGCGGCCAGCGCGGAGGGCGGCGGCTCAAGCGGTGGCGCTCCAGGTGGCACCCGAAGCAGCCCGAAGCGCCAGAGAGAGGTTCTCATGGTGTTTCAGGGGGAGGTTGAGGTGAGGGAACTTTCAAGTGGATGGTGGTTGCTTCACACAGGATGACCCAGGAGCGCCGGACCATCGAAGCTCGGGCTTGAACTGGAGGGCCTCTTTTCGTGGGTTTTCTCTGCCGACTCTGCCAGGAATGCTTTCACACCCCTTCTTGGAAGAGCCTTTTGCAGAACGCTGCACCTTGGAACCATCCCAAACCACCCCAGGACCGACTGCCAGGACTTCGACCTGACGACCTGACCGACGCTTCGCCCGAACCATCAGTTCCACCCCCTGGGCGCTCCGACATGGCCGTGCGCGCCCGCGCCTGGCGCGAGGAGGACGAGGCGTTTGAGGATGCCCTCCCTGACTGACTGAGCCCTCCGACTGAACACATCACATGGAAAACGGAACAAACGGCCTTTGGGGAAGACATAGGTTCCTCTACCAACATGGTGGTTTTCCACTTGTGATGTGTAGAAAGAAGGAACATGTCACTGATCCTGCAGGTTGCAACCAGTTGCTTCGTCTCCAGAAGCTGAGTCGCAACTTGCCACTTGCTCTGATCGAAGATGAAATCACATGTCACGAATCCTGCATGTGGCGACCCTCACAAGCAACCATCAACGCTCAAGAACTGGAAGTTCTGACCTGAACCACTGCTCCAGATGAGGGTATGGGCCAAGGGAAGCTACGATGTGTGATTTATAGATCATACACCAATTTACCGGAACAACTCTGGCACCGACTTATCACCAAACCAACCTACGAATAACAGGCAACCATCTAACATGTCAAGTCTATAACATCATCTAGCCCATCTGGAAGCTACAGCCCTAGACTTCCAAGACCATTAAAACAATGGTTGACCTGGTTTTGGTAGTGCAAAATCTTTAGTTGATTCGGTAAAGCCTATTAAATTAATGGTGGTTGGAAGCCTAGGGATAGGACCATCCACCATTGCCGAGACACCCTGCTTACATCCTTTTTGCCATGCATCAAGTCAGCGGCAGACGTCCAGCACACCGCAGAAGGCGCCCCAGCTCGGGCGCCACAAAGTAACCGCCCGAGCACTGAGCCGCCGCGACGCTGGGCCGTCCGCGCGCGGGCGAATTGGAGCGCGCGAGCCCTCGGGGGCCCTAGGACCTAGGACCCGGTGGCCGGGCGTGGCGCCGTGCCCGCGGTGGTGGAGGCACCTGCATCCTCGGCGCCGGCCTCTTGGATTAGCTCAGAGATTGACTTCTCCAGGTCATCAATGCGGGCGCCCATGTCGTCAATGCCTGGGAAAGTGAGGGGTGAAAAGTGATGAAGTCCTAATGACTGAAGCCCCTCTTGATCCTCTACAACTGTGAGGAAGGGAAACCTGCCCACACCAGACAGTAGAGTCCTTCCACCAACCACCGCTCACGACCGTTCATTCAAGCAGAATGCAAAACCTTGCCTCCCCTGTCACTTTGCTAGAGCAAGATTGAATCAAGCAACTGAAGCCAGCTTCTTCAAAAAGACGTTTTTGGAGTCCGTGTTTGTGACTTTTTAGATGCCTATTAGGGGATCAAGTTCGGTCGCTTGGCAGAACCAGGAGAAAGACACCTGCCACCAACCTCAACAGCACCGACAGCACCGTTTGGTTCGCCCCGACAGCACCTGGACCGACAGCACCCCCCCAGCAGGGTCCCTTCTCTGAGCTTCGGTTGATGATGGAGTCGGACATGGTCTGGAAACGGCCCTGCATCTCCTGGGACGAGGGGCGACGCAGGGCCGAAGGAAGGATTCGGCTGGTTTGTAGCCTTCCAGCCAAGGATTTCACCATTGCTTTATATAATAGACATTGCTTTACCAAGGATTTCACAATACAAAACACGACAAAACCAGGCTCAACCATGTCTTTAATTGTCTTGGAAGGCTATACAGGGGGTTGGGCGATGACATTGGACGATGAATCATGGGCTGGAACTCTGGTGCCACACGATCTCATGCTGTAGCTCCCTCTTACTCAATGATCTCAAGGGCGTGTTCCAGCTTCTGGGATGAGTCTTGGGATCTCAAACATTTGAAGGAAACATGCGTGGTTTTTCACTCCAGATTCCTTGAGCCACGCGCGTGGAAGGCTCATAATTACATGCGCGGAAAGAATACGCGCGTAAGACATTCGCGCGTAAGACATTCGCCTTCAACAAGTTCTGCACAAACAGGGTCAGGTCTTGGTTCTGGTCATCCTGCCCCTCCATGATGCCACAAGTCCCTTCTGGCAACCGCGCGCGCGAGTTTGTCGAGCACGCAGCAGCTGCGGGTGCACGAAAGTGAATCACTCTAGGTTTCAAGCATATAAATGGCACAATCCCCAAAAAGTCCTTGATAAAGACCCCTAGAGTCCTAGAGTTACCCTCCCAACCACCCCCCCAAAAAAAGAAGAGGAAAGAAACATCTAGGAGTTGGTGCCATCTACTCATGAAACCACTTGGCAAAACGCTTGGCCCTGAACCCTTTCCATCCGAACGGCGCCGAAGGCGAACGGTTCGCTGAAGGAGTGAAGCTGAAGGGTGCATCAGACGAACTGGCGCTTCGTCCCGGGTCGGACCTGGGACCCGGGACGCGGTGGGACCTCTTTCCATGGGCTATTCATTGACACCGTCGAAGGTGAGAAGGAGGCGCTCCTGTTATAGGTTTTAAGTTGAGAAGGAGGAACGGAAGTGAGAGGATACTGTGCTCTTTCCACCACCATCTGCAAGAGAACTACTGCAGACCTTCTGAGCTCGCTCTGGCCTTTTGGCTGGCCAGGAGTGTTCACCCAAACGGCCCCAGACGCAGCACACAGCACACACACCACGCAGCAAGGGCAGTTGTGCCGTGCCTTGGCCCTCAACTGACGGGCTCTGAGTTCCTCGGGGCTGTGGTCACTGGAGGGAAGCCCCCGCGAGCGCCCTTGGAGCCCTCGGAGCCCTGGTGGTGGTGGAGCTGACACCCACAGGGTGGAGCTGGATTTGCTGATGTCCCTGTTGGGAACCGACCTCTATATATCTCGAGTTAGCTCACGGAGGTTCACACGGTGTTGGTTCATCCCCGAATCCACCAAACCGAGTGACCTATAGTAAAGGGCCATCAACGGTTTGGAGCGCTGCGGATGCGAAAGCTCCATGGATGGATGATGGATGTGCCTTTTTCCTTTCCGTGCTGCCCCCGTTTCGGTCGGCTCCAAACAAATCCCCCAATTCTCCGACTCTCTTGGAAGCAAGGGTCACCAGTGAAGGGAAACAGAAGCGCAGGAGAAACCGTCTCGGTGTCGCAGCAAGCTGAAGCAAACACCTCACCGACCGGTCACCTACTCACCCACTCACGGCACAAAAGAGTCTGACCCGCCCAGTGGCTGCCGGCAGTGCCGGGGACTTCGTCTGCTCCTGGACGAGTGGCTACTCGTCGGTGTGTTGGGACCTCCACACGGTGTGGTCCCCAAAGCTCCGGCGGAACGATCAAAACAGGAGCCACTTTGTTCTGAAGGGGGTTCAGGCCCAAACACTCCATGGATTCCATATATATGCCTACATTGACCCCCCAAACCACCCCAATGTAGGTATATATACATGGAGTGTCTGGGAGGGTTCCAACTCCCTCGAGAAGACCTGCGCGAAGATATGACGCGTGCGAAATGATCCGAAGACCTCAAGGCGGTCCTTCAAGTTGGTACCCTCAAAGGGGTGGTGATTCAGGTACCTTCCACATCCTTGGACCACCGAGCACCACCAGTTTTTGGCACCCCTGATACATGGAACGGTCCGTGGGCCACTGGAACGATCCGTCCATGTTTACCTGGCGGGAAGGAGCCACCGACGCGTTCAAGTTCATGGGAAGGAGTCATCTTGGCTCAAAGCCCCTGCCACAGGCTCTGTTGGCGACCCCGCGACAGTGGACCCAGCATCATCTCCCTGACTGGTGGCCGCAAGAAAAGTGGATGATCAACCAGTTGAGCTTCCAAACTCTGCACCCAACTCCACAACAGCAGAATGCTCTGACCCCCTAAATGGATTCTTTTTGTGCTCCACGACTGGCTGAGTTTTCCCAGTCCTCTCGAGCGCCCATGCGGCTGATGGTGCGGCTTTGAGCTTCTGGGTCCTTGCAAGGCAAGGAGAATCGTTCACCACCTCCTCAGAAGCATCATATCACCACTTAATCCATATGACCACTTATGAACTTATTGCTCATATTTGCTTCCCAACGACTTCCAGAAGTTCTCCCCCTTCAACTCCCTCCCTCCGCTCCACGCATCCCGCCTCGCCCATCGGGCCCAACGCCCTGGGCCGACGTCCCTGCACCGAACGGGCGCGGGAGCCCGGGAAGTCCCGGCGCGGCCTGGGCGCGGCCGAGCCCGGCGGCGGAGCCCGGGTGGGAAAGACCTTCCTTCCGACGGCGCGACGTCTCGAAGGATTTGTCGGGTTTGAGGTTGGTGGGCCTGGGTTTGGCAGCTCGGAAAGTGCCTTTTTTCCGCACCCCCTAGGCGGTGCGTAGAAGGCAATGCGTGGTCTTCAGGGTGGGTCAGGTCTCCCAGCTGGTGACAACGCCTGGTCCAGTCAGGTCAGAGATCCAAGCTCGGAGTCCGTGGCGTCCGCAAGCGCCCCGGCTCAGTGCTCGGAGTCCGTGGCGTGTGCACCATGGCCATGCCTGCAAATGAGACGTGCATGGCGCAGACAGAAGTGGTGGCGGAGCATCGAGGTCCAAAGAATGATTTCAGGCCTTTCTGGGCACCAATGTAACCTCCAGAAGTTGAGGTCTGAATCCTTTCTGCATCTGGGATCCTTTTCATACTGGTCTTGGGTGAGATCGTCTTTTTTGGCTTAGCCCAAATCTAAGCTGAAAGGTGGCGCGATGTTCCCCCTCGTGGTGTCGGTCATTTGCATCAACCACGGCATGATCGCAAGACTGGTTAGACGCTTGCCTGCAAGCTCTGGGGAGGTCAGCCGGCTACAGCGCGCGCTTCCCACACCTGGTTTTGGGCATCAAGGAGGGCTCCGAGCAAGGCAGCCTGGCCTCTCATCCTTCCTAAGGCCGCAAGAAAAACTGTAAACTGCTTGTGAGCTTGGATCCCTGAACAATTAGATCGCTATGGAAAACTGTGAAAGGAAAACGACCACACAACTCACAAACCACCACCCAGCATCAAACCAACCATCTTCCAGGACGCCCCTTTCCTATCTTTCATAGATAGTGATTGGGGACACTCCATGAACCAGCCCTGGTGCGTCCTGGTTGAGCCCCAACTATTCTGGGTCGCCCCCGACTGGGCCAGTGTGGTGCGCTCCGCGGCGGCCCCATACCTGCCCAGGTCTCGACCGAATCTACCCTCGACGGGACTTGGGTCCCAATCGGCCGCACGGACTCACCGCACGTCTTGGTGGCTTCGGGTGACCAAAACTATGGGAAAACTATGGGTGTCTTGGTGTTTTGTTGGGAAAACTCTGGGTTTTGGGGGTGGTGACCATCCCGCTTGCAGGGTGTCCTGCAGATCTTCCCTTTTTCACAAATTCAGTGATTGGTGGATCAGTAGAGCTGAAGGGAGACGAGAGGCACCGAGATCCGATCGGGTGATGCTTCCCTGGAAGGACCCCACCGCACAGTAATGGCAGGCCTGGTGGCATCAGCCACACAGCGGCCGAGGGGAGGCAAAGAAGAAACGAGTTCTACATAATATAGTACATGTATGCTGTATGCTCCTTTCACAATTTTGGACCGGGGATTGCTTTTTCTGTTCTTCCGACTGTCACCAGGCCTTAATGACTAAGGTTGACACATGACCAGCACCCCTCCAACAGGTCTCCTCTACTAGAGGGTCGAGCCTTAACAGGTCTAAATGGCTGACTTGTCTCGCGTGCTGGTAGGTTTGACACAGGGTGTGACTTCGTGTTGCCTGCAAGCCCACGTCCAAACTGGGCCAAGCTGTTGACGCCTCCTCTCACGTCCGTTCTCGGCCTGCTTTGTAGCCGTCGCCCGGGGTGTAGTTGGTCCGCTCGCTGGCCTGGGCAGTGGAGGACCTTGCTGCCTTGAAACTGCTAATGAACAATGGAAAGACTCCCCAACCTCCTATTTTCCGGACATCAATTTCCCAGAACATCTCGAAGGACTTCGGGTCAGTTAACCCTCAGTGATGCAGACTATTTCAAGCTCCTGCATCTTCGGATGCCATCCTCTTTCGACACACGGCGCGCACGGCAGGAGCCCCTGGCCGGTCGAGCCGTGGCAGCACTCTCTGCGGCAGACCGGGTGGCCTCCCGGGTAGCGAGCTCCTCAGGGCGTGGGGGGGGAAGTCGAGGTGGCTCGGGTGAATGGTAGAGGAGCCACATATCTCGGACATGAGAGGTATATGTGTATCACGTGTATCGCATAAAAATATATATATATTATATATCAGAGGCATATGTAAGAAAATGTGTTTCATATGTTTCATGCATTCAGGTGTACGGTATATCTATCCATCTATCTATCTATCCATCTAATCTAGTCTAATCTAATCTAATCTATCCTATCCTATCCTATCCTATCCTATCTATCTATCTATCATATCTCCACTCTTGGCGAGGTGTGCCCTAGTAGCAATGATCCACACAAAAAAGCACTGCCGGACTCTTTCCACACAAAACTGCGGCGTTTCCCACCTAAAACGGGTCCAAATCCACACGATTCTTGGACCCCTTGGGCCTTTCCACAATTCAAGGTACCTTGGGCCCATCAATTACCTAGCGCAACTGAACCACCATCTCCAACCACCAGCCACGCGCTCCGCCCCCCGCCGCGCTTGCGTGGCAAGCCACCTGCTCTTGGTGCAGCTTGTGACGGACCACGTTGCGCAGCGTCCGCCCACCTGAGGAGAAGTCTGCGCAGCGAATCGGACCTCAAGTTGGACATCATTCAAACCACCTGGGGTACTTGTTCCTGATGAAATAGCACATGGCCGTCCTTCTGTTGGGCACACACTCCCCACTCCCTCAAAGAATCCTGCGAGGTGGACCCATGGACCCACGGTGTGGACCGTGCCCTGCTCGTGCCCGGGGCGTGCCGGCGCGTTCGTTCGGAACCGGCCGGGCCAGGGCGTCCCACTCAGGGGTCGGGAGGCGCCCGTGTTGGAGCCTCGGCGTGCCCGGCGCAGCGATGCCATGGGGTCAGAGGGAGGGCGGAAGTCCGTCCACCAAGTCCATCTACCCCTGGACACCTGGCGTTTCTCAACGATGCCGATGCCCATGGACCCAGTGTTTCCGGTGTCCCACCAGCGCAAGATCCTCCGGACCGGGCGCGGGCGTGCGGAGGTCGGTCCCGGACCCGGTGAAAGCACCAGCTCTGGAAGCCGCGAGGCCTGGCGCTTCGCCCGAGACCCGATGGTCACGCCGAGGGGCGGGTCACGGGGCGGGCGCAGTCGGGTGGGTTGCGCGGGAAAGACTCCGAACAGGTCGACCACGGAAGGTTGCAACAAAGCCCTAGGGCTCCAAGTACCTTCTAAGAAGGTGTTTGGGGTGGGTTAAGAGGGGTCCAGTCGTACCTTCTGAGGAGGTACGACTGGAGCCCTAGGGTAAGGCTTCCCAGACCAAAAGAACGGCAAAGGTCACCGTGCAAACCATTCGACCACAAAAACTCCCACGTCCATGACAGGTGAGCTGCGAGTGCGGCAGTCTGCTATTGGTCCAACCTGGATTACCCTGCTCTTTGGCCACCGACCTCCGGCAATCATGGCGGGGCGACACCCCCGTAGAGCCACCCAACAAAGGCCTCATAGTCCACCTCAGGTCTTTCCAAGAACCATGTCAAAGGCAGTGAAAGGCAGTGGACACCCCTCGGGTGACATCGCACACCGAATGACCTCTACTACTGCTGTTGATTCATCGTTCGTTCCCCCCAAATAAATAGCTCTTACAAATATTATATCTATCCTTTTCATTATGCTTTAATTCATATAGTTCATTCATTTATATTAATCATTATTTTTGGATAATATTCTTGTATCCTCCTCTTTTATTTATTCTGGCGTATCCGGCCACCTATATTTTTATAAAAGATAAGTAATAATATATAAAGCACCATTAAATAAAAAGAGATCACTAATAATTTAATGGTGCGCCAATGGCTATCTCCAGACGACTATAGGTCTTTAAATCAACCGTCAGCATTTATGGCCGGCCTCCACTTCTTTCTGGCTGGGGCTCCGGCTCAAGGGGCCTCCACCCACCACACGCGTCGTCCACCAACCGCCTGGTCTTCACCGGCGCGCGTCGTCTCGCCGCTCCCAGCGAGCGCCCCCACGTTCTCATGAGGGTCTGTGATGTGATCCAGGTGCTCGGTCAGCCTCGGGGGAGCGACAGGCGAGCTCGGGCAGCAGGGGAGCTGGTCGCCCGTGGTGAACTCTTAAAGACCGATTTGGATGAGAAGGGTCCACGCTCCTGCGCTGTTTTCATGGCCAACCCTCCTTAGGCTGGATCTGTGTGTTTGATGAAGTCCATCTCCAATAAAGGATCAATCATGATCGATGTCAGACCATGTCCCACCACCTCCATCCCATCATATATCCCATCTATTAGTCCGGCCTTGCCACCCTCCCCAACCACCCTCCAAGCGACGCGCCGATGACCCACCGGGCGGCTGTCGCGCTTCGGCGGACGTGAGCTCCCGGGACACCGAGAGGTGGATCAAGGCCTCAAGGGCGAAGGCGCGGACGTGAGCTCCCCCAGAAGATCAGAAGATCGCAGAGAAGCAGAAGGCCCCTTTCTTTGCTTTGAGGCCTGCCCCCCCCCCCAGAAATCGAAACAATGCACCCCAGGATCTCCGAAGTCTAGACCTCGAAGTTACATCTATGTGACAATGTGCCTTTTGGACCATGTCCTTTCGTGGGGGCGTGAGCTCCGACCTCGATCCTTTCCATCCCACGGTCACCCTCGGTGAGTCACGCCTCACCCCCCGCGCCTCCAAGAAGGTCCGGTCAATCCGCCCGGTCCTCGAAAGCGGTTGACACATGCGGAATCCATGAAAAATTGCATGGAAAGGCGAAAAAACGAAAGGGAAAAAAAAACACATCACCCTTTTCGATGACGGTAGATTCCATCCTGGTCCCACTTCCATCAAGGGTGGGCCCACTCACAGAATAGGCCCATTTCCATCAAGGATGAGCCCTCTGTCAAGGTGGGCCCACTTCCATCAAGGTGGGGCCCTTACTCCTTCGGCTTCTTCTCCTCCGCCCACCGCCCCGACTCCCTGCGTCTCCGGTCTCCTCTTCGAGTCGAAGTCGCGGAAGGCCGCGGTCAGCCGCGCCTCCGTCGGTGTGCATCGTCCGGTAGCTGGAAGGGACGCCGTTGGAGGAGGGTGTCTGGGCGAAATGGGTCACCAGGAAACACCATGGAAAGACAAGCTTGGAGACATAGCAGTTGTCACACTAATGAGAACCTGCGCATTTTCACCAAATGTTCACTGGCTTCACAGTCCAGCGACAAAGGCTGATCGCCGGTTTGGGGACTCAAATGGTGTCTTTGTTTCAGTTCTGGCAAAAAACCAGTGGCCTACGACCCAAGGTGCCCCAATCCATCTGGATTGATCGACCTGGAAAGTCTTGAAGGAGAATTACTCTTAAAAATAAACACCTGCCATGGCCACGATCCAGAACACATCCCTCCTTCAGCACTTGCAGGACAGGTTCCTACAAATCCTCGATCTCATCAAATACCACCAGGGAGGGTGGGAGGGGCCCCTACCACCCATCCAACGCACCAACCACCTGCCAAGGCCCGGGCGCCCCTCCGCGAGCCATTCGCCTGAGAACGCTCATCCAAATGAAGCGGGCGGAGAACCCTGAACCTGGTGGTGGTGGTGGTGGTGGTGGTGAAGTCTCCCCCCCAACCGAAAAAGAACAACCTTTTCTGCGAAAAGAACTCATCTCCCTTCGATGTCTCACCACCCTGGCACGATCGAAAGAGGTCTCGAGCCTCGAACCTTTTCAAGCTCCTGGGGTCTCCAAGCACCGTGAACGAGACCTACCCAAAAAGCCCGCTGCAAGGGGAGTCACGTGCCCTGACTCTATGTCTAAGCCGAGAACACGGCCCATCAGGAAGTCCCGTATGCACACCACGTTCCGCGCCCCGATCCGCCACCCCCGGTCCCTACCACCTGGGCATTGATGGCAGCCATCGCTCATGGGTGTGAAACGTGCACAGCACAGGCCTTTTGCATGGAATTTGATGTATTTGCTTGCAGAGTGGGGATCGTTCGACCTCTGACCACTTGACCGCAGCTTGAAATGGGCCACTGCGGGTGCTTGGGTGCTTCCTCGGTGTGAACGCAACGCCACGAGCTGTCTGAAGGTTTTCAAGAGCTCTGGGCCTTGAAATCTGCTTCATCCCGGGTGCCTCATGATCCAAACATCTGGCTGCGGTGGAAGAACCCCTCACCTCCGCGAACTCCATTTCCGCCGTTTGGGCCTTCGCAGGCACCGTCAGACATACACCTCCCAAAAGAACAATCAAGTCCTTACTCCGGCCACATGCTCAAGGCCTTGAAGAGGGAAAGCTGAATCAAGTTGTTCATTGAAGGTGTTTCCCATGTGAACACCTTGGTGCTTTGAGAAACACTCCACTCTCCCAACTTCCATGATTTCGACCCCGGTGCCGCCGCCCCGACCCCTCGTTTGGAAGGTCGAAAAACGGTCGGGTCTTGACGTGCGGACGGGGTCGGTCGACGGGTTGACGGGTGCCAGGTAGGTCTATTTCTGGAATTATGTTTGGGTGCTCAACCAGGGTCCCCCGTTGTTGGACCCACGGCCATATCTTCGTTCGCCACTCGAAAAGCGACATCCAACTGGAGGAGACCACGGAGCGCTGAAAAAACACCCGTCAGAAGACAGAAGACGCGGTGGACATCGCGGTGTCTCTGGGGCAGAAGTCCCTTGACCTGGACCAAGCATAACCGCCATCAAAGCAACACTGGAGTCGACTCGTGTTAACTCCGTAGACTCTGGAGTCGACTGGGTGGCCTTCATTAGTCGTGGGGGATGAGACAAAATCCTGCGCCTTCAATCGGTCAGCGCCACGAGAGGCCACAAGCTATGTGGCCACGAGCTGGTCCATCAACCCCCTTCTCTGCGCCGATTCGAGAGGTTTGGGCGCATTTTTGGTCCGCGCCAATTCAACACCTCACCTCACCTGATCAAGACTGGGAGTGATATGCACCGCAGAGGCACGGCGGAGCCCACGTCGCTAATCCGGGCCCTTCCGAGAGAAAAAGCCAATGACGTCAAATGGCGCCCACCTCCGGCGGGAAATGTGAGACTGTTGACATGAGATGCCGTTGCGGGCTGATTCTCTGGTACCTTCTTGCGTTCTCCAAGGAATTTGGCAGGCCACACCGCACCTCCGCACTGGTGCGCTGGCCTCCCAGGCAAGACCACCTCTCCCGCCCACTGACGCAATGCCGGTCAGCCCTTGGGCCTTTTGCTCACCAACTCAAATGGCAAAAAGGATGTGTATATATATATACACACACACACATATATATATATGTATGTATGTATGTATGTATGTGTATATATATATATATACATATACAAGGCAAAAACTGACCGGGTCAGCGTCCGCACACATTCATTGTGTGAGCAAGTCACTTGCAGACAACGCTGGATGAGAGCATTCTTGGCCACAGTTACGGGCAGACTCTTTGATGCTGAAGGCACAGCCAAGTCCAATCAACGACACATGTTCCACCCACAACAACAAGAGCCAAGTCCAATCAACGACACATGTTCCACCCACAACAACAAGTCAAGTTTCATGAGATTCTAGTGACCGGCCTTAGACCATACCTTGTCGCAACATACGGGAACTCGAGCGCCCATATGGCAGTCTGGCGCTATTGAAGCTCACTGTGACCAACAATTGCGCAGTCTTTCAATTGGTTACTACTGCTCGGATGCCTCGCGGTTGCTTGGCAATGTCATCAATTACCTCGGCCAGTCTGACCTGGTGGTTGGTCACAGCGAGGACGAAAAAGGCTGAAAAGTTGAGGCCACCTCCGCAATCGCTACTTCACTCCGTCATCTCGACAAAGTGATCGAGCCACAGAGTGTTTAGTAAGAGTGTCCAGGCATCAGGCACTCAGGGTTACCACCAGCAAAGGCCCGAAATTAGACAGTGAAGAATTGCAAATAGGCAAGCAAACATAAAACCAAGGCATTCGTTTGTCGGGCAACCCTTCGACCTGGCAAACCATCAAGCATGTCCGCTCTGCCCGATTTTGGATAAGGCTATATACAGCTAGGATCTGGCACTCGTAAATAAGATCATTGAAGTACGACCAGGCACGGTTTCCAAGGAAGCATCTGGCTAACTAGTCATTCACCCATAGCCAGGAGCAGCCTGCCCCATGTTCAACATGTTCAGCATGTTCAAGTCATAACAACATACCACAACATTGATGAGCCACTGGCTACCGGCCTTTGACCATACTTCTGCCATGGATGGTGTGAAACTAAAGCGGACAGTCTGGGGTCTTTCTTGCTTGAAACTTTTCTGACATTGAAGATATGGTCAAATCTTCAAACCCCTACTCCTTCCTGGCCTCCTGGTCTCCTTCCTGGTCTCCCTACTCGACTCCTTCCTGGCCTCCTGCCTTCTAAGAAGGACCCCCTTCTGACATGAACCAATCCTCTCCCACCGACCCATGCCGGTCGGCCTGGCGACGATCCTGTGGGGGACACACGACAGTCTGGACTACACTTTGAGACAAAAACAAAAGTCTATGGCCCTATGGCAGTCTGGGATGTTTCAGATTCTTGGCCAGTCTGGAAGTGTCAAATCGTTTGCAACTCACCGAGCCTGGAACAGGGGGCAGAACGGGTCTGGGAGGGGTTCGGAAGGGAGCTTAGAAGTTCGTTCTAGTTCTTTTTGATGGTTGCCTGGGTCTGGATGCCCCAGGAGGAAAGACATAGCGTCATCATGATCATCCAGCCCATGAAAAGTGCCTAGTCGGACATTTGGCTCACAGCCAGCACTCAAAACGTTCAACTGACTTCCTTGGTTTCCCTTGAGGGAAATAACAATCCCCAAAAATGGTTGCAGTAAAATGCAGTAAAGGTTGTCCACTGACTGGGTGGTAGGTTGATGATTTGGGCCCTCCTTCACTCACTCCACTCAGTCCGCTCACTCCACTCAGTCTCCACTCAATCAACTGCCTATTCGCCTCTCACTGAGGATTCATCAAGCAACAAGTTTGTCACACACAAAACGCGTTCTACATCTGACTTAGAAGCTTCCGCCCGCCAGCTCTGAGTCAGAGGTCCCAGATCATCGTTTTGAGCCTTACGAACGTATCAGTCCCGACGTCTGCCAGGCTGCGCACAGCATGAGATGAGGTGACGGTCCACACGGTCCACCCGCCCTGCAAGGGTTGGAACTCCTGGCCTTGTGTTCCGAGTGCATGCCATGTTTTGAAGTATTCCAGCAACCCAGTCAGCAATAGAAACGTGAAGACTAGCAGAGTAGCAGACTAGCAGAGCAAACTGACACAAGGCAAAGGTTGAGCGGGTCAAGTGTCATCTAGAGCGTCTGATTGCCTCGTGTGGTTGCATGTCGCTATGGTGAAGCAACCACAAGCATGTGCAAGCTTGCCACTTGCAGACAACGCTGGATGAGGGCATTCTTGGCCACAGTTACGGGCAGACTCTTTGATGCTGAAGGCACAGCCAAGTCCAATCAACGACACATGTTCCACCCACAACAACAAGAGCCAAGTCCAATCAACGACACATGTTCCACCCACAACAACAAGTCAAGTTTCATGAGATTCTACTGACCGGCCTTAGACCATACCTTGTCGCAACATACGGGAACTCGAGCGCCCATATGGAAGTCTGGCGCTATTGAAGCTCACTGTGACCAACAATTGCGCAGTCTTTCAATTGGTTACTACTGCTCGGATGCCTTGCGGTTGCTTGGCAATGTCATCAATTACCTCGGCCAGGCTGACCTGGTGGTCACAGCGAGGACGAAAAAGGCTGAAAAGTTCGGCCACCTCCGCAATCGCTACTTCACTCCGTCATTTCGACAAAGTGATCGAGCCACAGAGTGTTTAGTAAGAGTGTCCAAGCATCAGGCACTCAGGGTTACCACCAGCAAAGGCCCGGAAATGAATTGCAAAAAGGCAAGCTAACATAAAACCAAGGCATTCGTTGGGCAACCCTTCGACCTGGCAAACCATCAAGCATGTCCACTCTGCCTGATTTTGGATAAGGCTATATACAGCTAGGATCTGGCACTCGTAAATAAGATCATTGAAGTACGACCAGGCACGGTTTCCAAGGAAGTATCTGGCTAACTAGTCATTCACCCATAGCCAGGAGCAGCCTGCCCCATGTTCAACTTGTTCAGCATGTTCAAGTCATAACAACATACCACAACATTGATGAGCCACTGGCTACCGGCCTTTGACCATACTTCTGCCATGGATGGTGTGAAACTAAAGCGGACAGTCTGGGGTCTTTCTTGCTTGAAACTTTTCTGACATTGAAGATATGGTCAAATCTTCAAACCCCTACTCCTTCCTGGCCTCCTGGTCTCCTTCCTGGTCTCCCTACTCGACTCCTTCCTGGCCTCCTGCCTTCTAAGAAGGACCCCCTTCTCACATGAACCCTTGGAATCCCCACCTGGCGGGCCCACGCCACAAGGTCAGGGCATCACACCGGCGGGTCGCCACGGTCCCGGTTCCCCGGTCACGGCTTCACACGGAGATCACCTGAGATGTTGGAATGACCATGCAACATCAAAAGAAAGCAACCAACAACATATACATATATACATAAAACAACCAACAACATATATATATATACATATATATATATACAATTATATACATATAATATAGCCTTTTCTGCAATAGTATATCCAATAAGGCAACTCAGGAAGGTGCAAAGTGTTGGTAAGGACTCTTGGGACAATGAATTTCTACGAACGGGTTGTTCACCAGGCTACTCTCTATAGTCGCTTAGCTCTTCACGTGGGATTTGGGGCTAGCCGGACAGGAAAGAAAATCGGCAAGCTCGCCAGGCCACTGCAAGCTCGCCGGAGCCACATTTGTCAAAGCGAATGAAGGACGCCTTGTTGAGGTAGCCTTGAATCACCCTGCCAGCCTGAACGCGTTCCGCGGCGCGTTCCGGCGATCAACTCCGAGCCCGAGCACGGCGGTTTCAGCACCACAGCTTTAGCAGGTTCAACCCCCAGAAGCACATTGGGTCCCAATGAGAAAATGCATATCCAAAGTAGATGGAGGACGGTAAACCCAAAATCGATACCGGCAACCATATCGTGGGCAGTGACCCTGGGGAAGATCAAGTGGACCCTCCAAATTGGGGCATCAAAATAGATCAGAAAATGAATCCTTTTCGTGGCCTCTTTCCATCAACGATCACCGACTCTCTCTGTCTCCTCTCTCACTTCAGCGAAACATGGCTGGAATAAATCCAAGGTCGTGACCGCAGTTATCCAGTTGAGGGTGAACATGTTGCCGGAACATTCCGTTGGATATGGAAAGGATACCGTGTGCCACCCACATCCCCATGAACCACAGAAATTCCTGAAACATCCCGTCATGTGTACTGTTCAGGCAAGGGCTAGGAGCGTCCAAGCTCCCACACAACAAGCGGGCGGGACAAAAGCAAGAGTCGGTGGAACCAAAAACAAAACCGAAAAATCCCTTGAAATGGACAATGCCAATGCAGCATTCCGCCGATATCGCCCCCCACTGTCACATGAATGACGGCCACGCGGCATAGGGATGTCGCTGCGCTTCCTGCTGCAAAGCCTCTTGCATGGCGTCGAAGTTGCTGCCCGCAAAGCATTGCAAAATGCGCTCCTGGAGAAGAACAAATCCAAGGAGAAACCACCGGCCGGTTTCGGAAAAACCCACCAAAACGGTGTCGTACCTGGTTTTTCTTCGATTTCACGGGTTCGTCCACTGCTTCACGGGTTCCGTTCCTCACGGGCCGTCCAGGTTCGACTGACACCCTTCCTCCGTCCACGGCGGCCAGGCTTCGAACATGCGTGATGGCGGGTTTTAAAAGAGATGGAAAAATGGAATACAAGATTGAAACCGAAAGCCTTGGTGTGAAAAAGGTGGACCATTTAAAAGAACCAAGTCATGATCAACCAAGAGTGATTGTAGTGATGATCATTGTCTCATTGTCATTGTCCCATTCGTCCTCCGTCTTTTCCAGGTCCGCCCCTCCACCCATCCGCGGGGGGACGTGTGCCACGGCCGGGAGCCCTTTCCTTCATGTGCTGGCGTCGTGCCTTGCGGGGTCGAGTGATGCTGTCCTGGAGGTCCGGAGGCTCGCAGTCAGCGCAGAAGGACGAAGTGTGTTGGTGGAAAGGAGGAGCAACTGAAACTGACTAGACTATATAATATATATATATATACCTAAGCTCAAACATGTGGAAACTCTTGCACCAAACTTGAGGCCAGAAAGGGGGTGACTTGAAACAACTTAAAAAGAAAAATAATGAACAAACAGAAACAAGGCATGGCGTTACTGCCAGTTGGTCAAGCGGTTCAGTAGGGACCTGTTCCCCACCAAGATCTTCCTTTTTTTCCGTCGTTGGTTGCTCCAGGCTTTTCACCGGTCACCCCCTTGCCTCGACGTCACCGGTGCCCTCGGTCCTCGCTGTGTGGGAGATGAGAAAAACGGCACCCATCGCCCTTCGCGCAGCCGCGCAGCGACGAGACGAAGACCTCGGCGAGGGTCGATCGCCAGTCGTCGAGAACCCGACGTGGAGCCGAACACCCCGGGTACGGCGTTTTTCACCCGAGACACGACTAATGGGACTACCATAGGACTGCCGCACCATTGACCCTCCAAAACCATCCCAACTGAATCCAACTGATCGGCATATATGGCACACATGGAGTGTGTGGGTATTGTTTTAAGGCTCCTCGCGGGAAGGAAACCAGGACATACAAACACAGTAGCGACCAGCATGGGACCTGGCTTGAGATGAGGACACTTGTCACTAGTTTGTGCTGCCTACCACTGCATGATGCGTTTGGAAAATCACCTGTACCAGCACGCACAAGATTCCGAGTGTCATGATTCCTCATATTTATACCTCCAATCCAAGGGGCGCACGGCTCAGCGTTGCCAGGTGTCACAACTTCCATGAGTTTCAAGTTTTGACGTTAAAGCCTGCAACGTTGTTCCAACTTCCTGAGCCCAAAAACAGTCAGATGATGCACGTCCGCAACCAGCTCGACCAAGGTCACACCCATGCGGTACCTTCACCGCAGCTTTGCGGCTAATTTTTCGGAGGCCAAACAGAGATCCTCGGCCAAAGCATGGCAAGTGCACCTTAAACCTGCACCCAAGTACTTATCCGGCTTTATTTTTGATCCTTGGTTTGAGATGTTTGAGATGTGCCTTCTTCTTCCTTCAAACTCCTGCGCGTTTCCCACTGCAAGCATGTCTTTTTGGTCGGGACTTGTCTGATCTGGTGCACCCTGGGTGGGTGAACCCTGGGTGTTGTGTAGCAGGGAATTAGCTTGTAGGCTTTAGATATCTTTAGATGCTAGTGGTCTTGCTCTTCCCCTTGGCCCTATCACTCCCGGCGGAACCGTCGGTGGAAAGACCGGTGGAGCCGCCTGGTGAAAGCTCGGATCGCTCCGGGAATCCTCACCAAGATGGGGATGGGGTCGAAAAAACCTGGAGCCGGAATAGCCAGCATGTCGGATCTGACGTGCCGCAAACACGAACACAACACAGATTTTCGTGGACGAAATGGTCCAAAGTCAACCAATATACCAATGGAACTCTCCGGAGCTAGGCACATCAGCGGCGGAGCAGCTCCGGAGCAGCAAGGCACCAAGGGGCGGTAAAAGGCACCAAGGGGCGGTAACGGTGCCTTGCTGAAGTGTGGAGGCTTGCCGTGTGGAACTTCGAAGCGGCCAAAACCGGGAATGGAAGGCGAAAGCTAAAACATGAGAACCGTTTTGGACATCGAGGGCGGTTTATCGGATGCTCGGCGTCTGTGTGATCTGGATCTGTCCCATCCAACACGCGCTCCCATAGGCTTGAACGGGCATCACTTTTCCGCATGGCGTGGACGCATCATTCATGTCTCGATCGCATGGCTCTGCATGGAGTTTTTGCGGCAAGGCGCGGAAGGTGACGCCCCCGCGGAATGTACATCGGCAGCCTTCCCTGGAGAGGTTTTCGACCCGACCAGTGTGTATGCAAACTGGATCTCTTGTACCCCAGCCGGATGAGTTCCCGGCACCTTGCAGTCGTGCGCCTTCGTCCAAGACATCCCAAGACCGACCCGACCCGACCCGACCCGTTTGACCAGGCGCAACGACTAGAGGTGCTGAAAACACATCGGTTTTCACCAAAACAGATAGATGTGGTGTCTTTTTCCCCCATTGGGGACAGAACTGGGACTAATATATGTGGTGTATAGAAGGCCCCCCATTGGGGGTATACGGATTTTACAGCTATGACTCATATGTGTGGCTTCGTGGTGCCGCTTTTTTTCGAACTTTTGCGAAGCTTCCAGTCAAACGCCTGTTCTTCAACTCAAGTGACAACTCTGGGGCTATATTTGGAGAATAGGACAATAGGAAGTTCGTCTCAAACTCTCAAACCTGCCAGATTGAAAGCACCCTGCCACCGAAAAGAACATCGGATGCTGGCCCTAAATCATACTCTGTGATGATGTAAGGCCCACCACCCACTGGAACATGAAGCTGAGGCTAACCCAATCCGATTTTCCAAAACCATTCTCTAAATGTCACCACGGATTCGAGAAAGCCTCCTCGTTCGGTAGACCGAGGTTCTTCGTCCGCTGCCTTTGGAACCTTCAAATTTCGGCACGCCTCGACCCAGGAAAGGACCACCGCGGGGATCGGTGCGACTGGTATCCACCAAACTCGCTCAAGCGCGAGAAGAGGCGCCCAGGGAGCAAAGGGAAAGGTGCTACGGAGGCGGATAGACTTGGTGAATGAAACCCTGCATCCACCGAAAGAAAAAAGACCAAAAGAGCTGGCTTTCTTGAACGGCTTGTGTTGAAGTTCTCACCGGATGCTTTGCCAGAATCTGGCACATACCAGCCGAAGGGCCGCAGGACAGAGGAAGACATCAAAACATCTCCACTCTTCGGACTATCCTGCTGCATCTCCATTCGATGAATTCAAGCTGTACTCTGCTCCCCCCCAGCTCTGCACCCAAGACGGAACGTGGGACGAGGCCAAGATTGGCCTCCACTACAAAATGCCTTGAAGGAATCTGTAGCATGGTCCGATGCTGCTGCGCACAACTCCAAGGATGGTGCCGCAGCGATCTGGAAGAAGGTAGAAACCAACGGTGTTCCTTCTCGTTGATGATCTTACTAGTCTTGTCCCAACCACTTGTCAGGAATCACCGAGCTATGTCAGACATGGCCTGATAACTTCTCTGGTGCGACTTGGGGGAAAAGCGTGGTCGCCGCATGAACTGCAGCGCTCTGACTGAGACTCTTTGTCCCAATCCACGCACATTGGCTAGCCAGCACTGCAGCAATGTGGGTGAACAGGCCTACTAATCCATTAGGAAGAGCGTTGTGAACTTGGAGGGTTTCTTTCACGTCTCTGTGTCTTCAGTCTTGTGTGTGTGAGTACAAAAGTAGTATATATATAATCTTTAGTTGTTAAAAAACACCTGAGAAGGGAAGGGAAGAAAGCCAGCCCCAGTAGGGACTGAGGAGCCGATAGCATATTTTTGTTGTCATAGGGTGAGGAAGTCGATCCTGCATTTTTGAATCCGTCACACGAGCTCGTGACAGTTTTTGCCGTGAGGATATTGTCGGCGCAGCTGAGGTCTTTGCAGCTATCTTTACAGCTCACCCCGTCCATGTTTGCTGGGGAAGAAGCATACACACCACTAGACCGACTGCCTGGCCACTTTGTGATGCTGATGGTGCACTCTTCAACCTTTTTTGGCATAACTCGCATCACCAAGGCCCTTGCAAAAAAAAATTCTTCTTGCTACATCACTCTCAGTCACTTGCTCAGAAAAAGGCGCTTTT